ATCCGACGTTCATTAAACCCACATTTACCACCTCCCGCTTAGCAATATTTCTGTCTGTCTCTGAACTTTTATTAAGTTACTGTGTTGTCACCTAGGGTCCAGATTTCCTCGCATATAGTGCATTAGACTTCCAAGCGGGGGGAAACACACCACACCCAAGTTTCAATCTGACTAGGTTACTGAGGCTAGTAAACTGAGCACACCCAGGCACACCACACATGCACACATGTTTCAATCTGACTAGCTTCTGAGGCTAGTAATGAAACAGATGGGGCCTCAGAGGTTGTGGCAGAGCAGCTCTGCACCCGGGCCCTCTCGTTCTCGCATCGTCATTTGCGCCGGGCCAGACAGTTTCGAGCCAGGGCCCAACTCTCTTAGCACAAAAGGGATGTACCCGCCAAGTATGGGTGGATATCCTTCCCGAGCGGGATGAGACGGGCCTTTACCCACCATGATCCCCCCCCATTTGTCCATCATGAACAAACCCACTTCGAGTCGGCCACAGCAGACAGCCAGCGGTTGAAAGCCCGAGTGTCTGCCTGACATGCTTCTGCATGCTTCAGAGCAGGTAGGGCCCAGAGAAGATGACAGAGTCGGCCCATTGTGCTAGCCAGCTTGCCACCGGCGGCGACTTGCAGCTTCAACACTGGACTGTTTCCGCCGAACGGGTCAATACCACCGCTGTGAATACAATTCGACGGAAACGCTTGCTTGTGGGTCATCATGAGCCTCAGATTCCCCTTCAATATCACCACGCTGGGCCCCAGGAAGCACCGAACAGTGGCTCCTGGGATCTTAAACACCTCTAACAAATAGAGGGCGCCAGATTACCAGCACATCACGCGACTCCATCGGCTCTCTCAGCAGCTCTTCTCAGCCTAGCTCCTCTCGGTGCGGGCCTTCTTTCCCCGCCCGGCGCGCGGCGGGCGCAGCCGGGACAGAGCGTCCAGCGTGTAAACACTTGCTAACCGGAGGGGCCCCTAATGGAGGATCTACCCAACAACCACCTGTCGCTCTCCGAAACAGTCACAAAGCCATCACTATCCTGGGTCTTGTCCCAGCTGCGGAGGCCGGGCTGGGAGGGCTAGGCTCGCTAGCTAGTTCTCCTTCTGCCTCTTCCCTAAGGCTGCCTCGCTGTCGCTGAGGATTACGGCTGGCTGTAGCTAATGCTAGACGCTAGCTCGAGACTCCAGGTGCTCGGAGACGCAGCTCTAACTCACTGCCCCAGGATTCCGGGCTACCGACGACACTACCTTCAAAATCTTTCACTACCCCCCTCCAGAGAGGCTCCCAGGGTTTTCGACTCGCATATGGGCAACTTCCGAGCAGTAATAAGGATCTTGAGGGAGAGAAGCAGCGCCATTAGTAGCGATGTCGCGGCCTTAGGCTAAGTAGGCTAGGCTAAGCTTAGTACGGATCCGGGCTCCGCACAACAGACTCCGAGACCAGGACAACAACGACTACCCTAAACCTCAGCTGAGTACCAGCTGACTTCGGAAGTGCTTACACAGTTAGCTTGGGGTACAATATCGTGGATTTGTAATGTGTTTGTTAGAGCACAACACACGAGTGCAGGTGGATCGCAGTCAAGAAAACCCGCTCATCCGGATACAGGAAGTCACGTCACGCACGTTACAAAAGTAAAATCTGATGAAAGCTCAGCCCAATAAAGCAGTGCAATTCCTTATGGGGTTCATTTGAAGCTAGCGTGTTAGCATTAGATCAGAATACAGTTGTTGTGTGCCAAGCCCCGGCGATCCAGCATGGGCCCTATTCAAAGACATGGTTGTGCTCAGGGCGCTTTGTGACGGCATGGGGGCTGATGGATTAGCGGAAGTCGCCTGAACTCTCCCACAAAAAAATAAAAAGGACCAATTTTCTATGGCGAATCTCTCAAAGATCAATGGGAAACTCAGCAAAGATCTTTGGGAAACTCCCTCAAAGATCTATGGGGAAACTCTCAACGATCTCTAGGGAAACTCTCAAAGGATCTTTGGGAAAACTCAAAGATCTTATGGAAACTCTCAAAGATCTCTGGGAAACCTCTCAACGATCTATGGGAAACTCTCAAAGACTATGGGAAAACTCTCAAAGATCTATGGGACATCTCAAAGATCTTTGGGAAACTCTCCTGTATTGTATGTGGGCATCGTCTGGTCCTCCGGTTCCTGGATGCGTGGATGATTCCCATATGCATTGCGCCAACCACTCGTGTGTGGGTCTCACCCGGGGTCATCACGCACCCGTGCACAGAGGGTCTCACGCACGTGCACAGAGAGGGTCTTCCGCACGTGCACCTGCGGGGCACGGCCGCGCTCTGACCAATCAGAGCAGTTCATCAGAGCGGGAGTTAGAGCGAGAGACCAGAGGAGCATGAGTTTGTGGCACTAAGTGTGGATTTAAACAAAAACCGAAGGATTTAAGAAGACAAAAAGTTCAGGATGACAAGGGACACTAAAATCCCAACAAAATACTATCTTTATTAAGCTGTAGGTTCTCTGGCAGTGTTCTCTGGAGCTGAGGTCCGAGCTGTTTATTATGCAATTGAGTTCTCATGGGAAAATTTTGGTAGCCCACGTGAATCTGGTTAAAGCTGGTCTCACTTTGGTCTCTCCTCTGGTCTCTCTGGGTCTCCTCTTGTCTCTCTCTGCCCACCCCCGGTCTCTCTCTGGTCTCTCTCTGGTCTTCTTGGTCTCTCTTCTGGTCTTCTTGGTTCGCTCTGGGTCGCTCTTCTTGGTCTCTCTCTGGGTCTCTCTCTGGTCTCTTCTCGGTCCTCTTTGGTCTCTCTCTGGTCTCTCTCTGGTCTTTCCTGCTCTCTCTCTCTTGGTCTGTCCGGTCTCTCTCTGGTCTCTCTTGGTCTCTCTCTGGTCTCTCTTGGTCTCTCTTGGTCCGTCATGTTTGAACTGTGTTTGATTTTTTGATGATGTGTTGCGGTTTGAATCTACATCTCTGGTAAAGCCCCTTCAAAAGACTTTAGATGCTGCTGGGATTCCTAGAGCGATACACAAAAACTCAAAGTCCTAGAACCAAGGACCCAGACCCCTACACCCAGAACAGACCCAGAACCAAGACCCGCCCCAAGACAAAGACAAGGCCCCCCCGACCTACGGACGAAGACCAGAACCCAGGACCAAGGATCAGACACACACCAAGACCAGACCAAGGCTAGAGACCCCACCCCTAACGAACAGACCCCGAAACCACGGACCGGACCCAGACCAACGACCAGACCAAGGACCAGGACCCAGCCGGACACACACCCAAGACCAGACCCCTAGCACCAAGGACGACCAGACCAAAGACCAGACCAAAGCCCAGACCCCGACCCTCAGACCCCAAGACCCAGAGACCGACCCAGCCAGACTGGACGTTTTATTTTGAGCAAAGTACCTGTGGTCTCAAATTACCTCAAGACCCAAATCAAGACCACAACATGGTCTAACATCAGGACTTACACTAAAAACCCAAACCTGGACCAAGACCCAGACCCGGACTGGACCCAGCCCTCCAGACAGACCTTGTCTCCTCTGCTCTCGCTCCTGGAAGGGAGTCATGTCTGCTCCGGAGGGGGTGCTCCTCCACTGCTACCCCAAATGCCACATGACTCCGCATTTATCTCAGATTCTACCCATGACTCGCCGGGACAGGGATATCCCTGGTTTACCTCTCTCTCTCTCTGGTCTATCTCCTACTGCTCCCCATCTCTCTCTGCGGTCTCTCTCTCTGCTCTTCTCTCTCTGGTCTCTCTCGTCTGTCTCTCTCTCTTCTGCTCTCTCTCACTCTCCTCTTGGTCTCTCTTTACTCTTTACTCTTTCTCTGTCTCGTGTCTACGCTATCTCCTGGTATTCTCTCTTCTTGGGGCTCTCTCTCTCTCTCTCTCTCTGCTTGTGGTCTCTCTACTGCTCTCTCTCTCGGTCTCTCTCTCTCTTCGGTCTACTCTCTCTCTCTGGTCTCTCTTTACTCTCTCTATCTTCCCTCAAGTCTCGCTGTCTAAGCTATCTCTGGTATCTCTTTTTCGGCTCTCTCTTCTTGACTGTCTCTTCTAGCTTCTCTGCTCTGTGGTCTCTTCTTGGTCTCTCTCTCAGGTTTCACTCTCTCTGGTCTCTCTCTTGATCTCTCTCTCTGGTCTTCTCCTGGTCTCTCTCTTGATCTCTCTCTCTGTGACTCTCTCCTTGTACTGGGTCCCTCTTCTGCTCCTCTGGTCTCTCTCTATCCTTTCTGGTCCTCTCTTGGTCTCCTCTTGATGTCTCTTCTCTCTGGTCTCTCTCTCTGGTCTCTCCTCTGGTCCTCCCTCTCTCTGTCTTTCCCTCTTGGTTCTGTCCTCTGTCTCTTGATTCTACTCTGAACGCCTCCTTGTTCCCTGGAATCAGCATTAGAGATCGATGAGACCAGACAGATAGAGAGAGACCAGAGAGAGGAGAGGACCACCAGAACAAGGAGAGAGTCCAGAGAGAGAGATCAGAGAGAGAGACCAGAGAGAGGAGACCAGAGAGAGAGATCAGTCGCGAGAGACAGAGAGAGAGCAACCTGGGAGAGCAGACCCAGAGGAGGACCCAGAGCAGAGAGAGGAGGATGCATGCATTCCCTCTTAAGTAAGTGAGCGAGCGAGGGAACCGAGATACCAGAGATATGCTTAGCGCAGCGAAGGACAGAGAAAGATAGACGGAGTAAAGAGAGCCCCAGAGGAGCGAGAGGAGACCAGAGAGAGAGGAGACCAGAGAGAGAGAGCAGAGAGAGACCACAGAGCAGAGAGAGAGAGAGAGAGGAGAGCAGAGCAAGAGAGATACAGAGATCGCGTAGACAGCCGCGACCAGAGAAAGATTAAAGAATAGAAGAGAGACCAGAGAGATTAGAGAGAGAGAGAGCAGAGAGAGAGAGAGACCGAGAGGCGAGCCCGGAGCTTGGAGAGGAGTAGCAGATGAGAGAGACCAGACGAGCGAGAGGCAGCAGAGAGCGCCCCGAGAGAGGAGCGTTACAACCCGGATCCTGTCTGCTGCGTCATGGTAGACTCTGAGATAAATGCTGAGTCAGAGACATTTGGGGAGCATGGAGGGCCCCCATCATCCGGAGCAGACCTGACACCTCCCGGGAGCGACGGAGCAGAGGAGACAGGTTGTCTGGAGGTCTGGGGTCCCGGTCCGGGTTGGGTCTTGGTCCAGGTTGGGGGTGTTTTAGTGTAAGGTCTGATTTTAGTCCATGTTTGGTCTTGATTTGGTCTTAGTCATTTGCCCACCGTACTTCTCAAAATAAAAAACGTCAGGTCTGGGTCTGGGTATGGTCTTGGGTCTTGGGTCTGGGTCTGGGTCTGTCTGTGGTCTGGTCCTTTGGTCTTGGGTCCGGTTTGGTGCTGGGTCTGGTCTTGGGGTGTGTGTCCGGTCCTTGGTCTTGGGTCTGTCTTTGGTCTTGGGTCGGTCTTGGTTCTGGGTATGTTCATGGGTGTGTCTCTAGGCCTTGGTCTGGTCTTGGTGTGAGATGGTCTGATCCTTGGTTCTGGTTCTGGTCTTCGGGTCTTCGTTCAGAGGTCTTGCTTTGGTCTTGGGATCTGGTCTTAGGTTCTGGGTTGTTCTTGGGGTGTGGTTGGTTCTGGGTGGTCTTGAGTTTTTGTGTATCGCTCTACATCCCAGCGCCAGTCTAAAGTCTTTAAGGACTTTACCGAGTTGTAGATTCACCGAAAGGACACATCAGAAAATCAAACCGTTTCAAACAGACGGCCAGAGAGGACAGAGCGAGACCAGAGAGAGACAGAGAGAGACCAGAGAGAGACCAGAGACCGACCCAGAGAGTGAGCGAGCAGAGAACGACCAGCGCGAGACCAGAGAAGAGCCCGAGCGCGACCCGAGAGAGACAGCGAGACGCCCAGCGCTCTCGCGGACCGCGCGCCGGACCCGAGCGAGACCAGAGAGCGACCAGAGAGAGGACCAGAGCGAGACCCAAGAGAGAGCACCAGAGAGCGACCCGGAGAGACAGAGGAGCGACCGAGAGCGGACCAGAGAGCAGACCCCGAGAGAGACCCCTCTTGCGCACCACGGATTCACGTGGGTCTAACCAGAATTTCCCCATAGAACTCAATGCATTTAAAACAGCCTCGACCTCAGCTGACGAGAACTGACAGAGAACCTCAGCTTTAATTAACGATTCGTATTTGTGGGGCTTTTCGTGTCTTGTCATGTCCTGAACTTTTTTTCTTCTTAAATCCTTCGGTTTTGTTTTACAATCCAACTTTAGTGCCCCATCAACACTTGCTCTCTGGCAGTACTTGATAACAGTAAATATCAGATATGAAATAATACAGCAGTACTGATAACAAGTAAATCTCAATATGTAATAATAACAGTATAAATGTCACGTAAAGAATCAGAGAATGTAGTACTGTATAGTACTGATAACAGTAAAGGGACTAGTGACAAAGTTTACTAGTGAATTATCAGTGACACTATGTAGCTCGACTCCAGCAGTTCCTGCTATACACCATTTCTCGTTGTACAATGTCTGACAGCCACTCAGCCACTCAGCGCCCCTCTCGCGCCCCCCCCCCCCAAACCGCCACACATCCCCACGGACAACTCTCCCCCTCCACCCTCCCACACTCCGCCCACCGGGCGTGCATCCCAGTCCTCGCGCCCCACTACCTCGTCAATCGCTACGCCCTCGCACTCACGCACCCCACCCGTCACCCCCCGACACGTCGCAGAGCGCGCGCACACGAGCAAGCCGCGGCGCGACAGCCCTCCCACCCCATCCCCCGCCCCCGCCCCTCCCCAGCACCATAGATGTTTCGCGCTCTGATCACCGCGACCAATTCATTCAGTCACACACCCCCCCAAAACCTCCCCCCCCCCCCCGCACCTCGCCTCACCCCCCCTGCCCCCTCGTCCCCACCCCTGGGACCCCTCCGCACCCAGCCCGTCGACAGATCCCGAGCAGCGCCGCCTCACCGCCCACCGCGGACCTCGCCCCCCCCCCCTTCCAGCTTCTTCCTGTCCCTCTCTGTGATGCTGCTGCTCCAGCAGACCACACCGTACAAGAGGCTGATGCCACCACAGAGTCATAGAAGGTCTTCAGGAGTGGCCCCTGCACTCCAAAAGACCTGAGCCTTCTCAGTAGGTAGAGCCGGCTCTGGCCCTTCTTGAAGAGGGAGTCTGTGTTATGAGTCCAGTCCAGTTTGTGGTTCAGATGAACACCCAGGTACTTGTAAGAGTCCACTCTCTCGATGTCCTTTCCCTGGATGTTCACTGGAGCTGGAGCGGCAGAGTGACGTCTGCGGAAATCCACCACCATCTCCTTGGTCTTCCTCACGTTGATGAGGAGGTGGTTCATCTCCTTGGTCTTCCTCACGTTGATGAGGAGGTGGTTCATCTCCTTGGTCTTCCTCACGTTGATGAGGAGGTGGTTCATCTCCTTGGTCTTCCCCGCGTTGATGAGGAGGTGGTTCATCTCCTTGGTCTTCCCCGCGTTGATGAGGAGGTGGTTCATCTCCTTGGTCTTCCTCGCGTTGATGAGGAGGTGGTTCATCTCCTTGGTCTTCCCCGCGTTGATGAGGAGGTGGTTCATCTCCTTGGTCTTCCTCACGTTGATGAGGAGGTGGTTCATCTCCTTGGTCTTTCTCACGTTGATGAGGAGGTGGTTCATCTCCTTGGTCTTCCTCGCGTTGATGAGGAGGTGGTTCATCTCCTTGGTCTTCCTCACGTTGATGAGGAGGTGGTTCATCTCCTTGGTCTTCCTCACGTTGATGAGGAGGTGGTTCATCTCCTTGGTCTTCCTCACGTTGATGAGGAGGTGGTTCATCTCCTTGGTCTTCCTCACGTTGATGAGGAGGTGGTTCATCTCCTTGGTCTTCCCCGCGTTGATGAGGAGGTGGTTCATCTCCTTAGTCTTCCCCGCGTTGATGAGGAGGTGGTTCATCTCCTTAGTCTTCCCCGCGTTGATGAGGAGGTGGTTCATCTCCTTGGTCTTCCCCGCATTGATGAGGAGGTGGTTCATCTCCTTGGTCTTCCCCGCGTTGATGAGGAGGTGGTTCCGCTGACACCAGTCCACAAAGTCCTGTATAACTCCTCTGTACTCTGTGTCATCGTCCTCGGAGCTGAGTCCGATGATGGCAGAGTCGTCAGAGAACTTCTGTAGAACACAACCGTCCGTGTTGTGTCTGAAGTCCGCAGTGTAGAGGGTGAAGATGAACGGTGCGAGGACTGTGGAGCCGGGTTTCTCAAGGTGGGACAGCGAGCGATGGAGGAGGGAGATGATGGCGTCCTCGACTCCGATGCCCGGCCTGTAGGCGAACTGCAGCGGGTCCATCGCTGGGCTCAGAGTGGAGCGGAGATGTCCCAGGACCAGTCTCTCCAGTGTCTTCATGCAGTGGGATGTTAGAGCCACTGGCCTGAAGTCGCTGAGGTCTTTGGCCCGTGGTTTCTTGGGCACTGGTACCACACAGGAGGTCTTCCAGATCTGTGGTACCGACCTCAGGCGGAGGCTCATGTTGAAGACGTGCCCCATAACTGTGCACAGTTCGTCTGCGCATGAGCTGAGGAGCCTGGCGCTCACATGGTCTGGTCCCGCCGCCTTCCTGGTCTTGATTTTCTTCATCACACCTCTCACTTGAGCAGGTGTGAAAGAAAGGGGAGGGCTGGGTGAGTATCTGTGTCTGAGGGGGGGGGGTGGGGGGGGGGGGGGGGGGTCTCTGATCAAACCGCAGGAAAAATTGGTTTAGATCATTAACCCACTGGGGGTCCCCCACAGGCCGGACAGGGGGTGTTTCGAAGCCCGAGATGGTCTTCAGGCTCCTCCAAACCCCTGCCACATTCTGTTGGCTCAGCTGTTCCTCCATCCTGTTCTTGTAGCGAGCCTTAGCAGTCCTGATGCTCAGCCTCAGTCTCCGTTGTACCTCCTTCAGTGCCTGTTTGTCCTTTGATAGAAAGGCCCTCTTCTTCTCCTTCAGCAGGGCCTTAATCTCAATGGCTTATTGTTGGAGAAGCATCGTACCATCTTGGAAGGCACAGCGATTTCACAGCAGAAGTTGATGTAATCAGTTATGCATTCCGTGATGGCATTGATGTCGTCCCCGTGGTCGCACAGTTCGTCCCACAAAGTGCAGTTAAAACAGTCCCTCAGCCTGTCTTCACACTCCACAGTCCACCTCTGGACCAGCCGAGGAGTGGCTGGTTCTCGGTGTACAATGGGCGCATACAAGGCCTCAGGTGCACGATGTTATGGTCAGGGCAGCCGAGGGGGGGGGGGGGGGGGGGGGGGGGGCGGTTGGGTTGTATGCCCCTGTGGCATTTGCCAAAGAAGAGGTCCAAAGTTCTATTGTCTCTTGTGGGAAAGTTGATGTACTGGGTAAATGTGGGAAGCACAGTTTGGGGGTTCGCGTGATTGAAATCCCCAGTGATCAAAAACAGAGCTAGACTAAAATCTAGCTTTAGCATAATAAAGAAGCTAGTATAAATCTAGCTTTAGCATAATAAAGAAGCTAGTATAAAATCTAGCTTTAGCATAATAAAGAAGCTAGTATAAATCTAGCTTTAGCATAATAAAGAAGCTAGTATAAATCTAGCTTTAGCATAATAAGGAAGCTAATATAAAATCTAGCTTTAGCATAATAAAGAAGCTAGTATAAATCTAGCTTTAGCATAATAAAGAAGCTAGTATAAATCTAGCTTTAGCATAATAAAGAAGCTAGTATAACATCTAGCTTTAGCATAATAAAGAAGCTAGTATAAAAATCTAGCTTTAGCATAATAAAGAAGCTAGTATAAATCTAGCTTTAGCATAATAAAGAAGCTAGTATAAATCTAGCTTTAGCATAATAAAGAAGCTAGTATAAATCTAACTTTAGCATAATAAAGAAGCTAGTATAAATCTAGCTTTAGCATAATAAAGAAGCTAGCATAAATCTAGCTTTAGCATAATAAAGAAGCTAGTCTAAAATCTAGCTTTAGCATAATAAAGAAGCTAGTATAAATCTAGCTTTAGCATAATAAAGAAGCTAGCATAAAATCTAGCTTTAGCATAATAAAGAAGCTAGCATAAATCTAGCTTTAGCATAATAAAGAAGCTAGTATAAATCTAGCTTTAGCATAATAAAGAAGCTAGTAAAATCTAGCTTTAGCATAATAAAGAAGCTAGTATAAATCTAGCTTTAGCATAATAAAGAAGCTAGTCTAAAATCTAGCTTTACAATACAATACAATACAATAGAATGTATTCTTGTATAGCCCTAGGTCACAACAGAAGTCATCTCAGAGACTTAACAAAACCATTGAAATCACCAACACAGGTCAGAGAATCAACAGTTAAACCCACAGGGAGGGTCCAGACCCTGATCATATGAGAAAGGACCCTCCTGCATCCAAGCTCCTCCGGACGGACAGACTAATGATCTAGGACCTAAGCTAGCTACAGAACGTGGACCAGTGGACGCTGAACGTGGACAGGTGCAGGACCGAAGCACTCCCAGGCGGGTCGGGCGGGGCAGTCCGCAGGTGTAGATGGAGGAGGCCAGGCTCAGAGATCCCGTCATCGTACCATGAAACAGACAATGGGACAACGGGTGAATAGCAATGAACAAACTACAGTCAGAATCCTAAAAATGCTAAACAGATAAAGTAGGAAGGAGGAGAGGATAGTGCTCAAGTTACCATACTTCTCCCAGCAAACTGACTCCCTATGCAGCTTGACTAACACTCTGAGGAGTTTAACCTTCTCCGAGTCTTACCTTCCTAGCCATATGCTAAACTAAAGAGGACTGTTTTAAACCTAGCCTTGAATAAAGAATAACATACAGCATAATATATAACATAATATACAACATAACACAATACATTATTGAATAATATATAACATAATATATAACATAATACAGCATATATATATAATATATACACTACATATTATATATTACCTAATTATATGCTAAATTAAAGTAAAGTGCTTTAAGCCTGGCCTTGAATGTGGAGACCGTATCTGCTTCCTTAACATAAATGAAGCTGATTCCACAGTAAAGGAGCTTGGTAGCTAAATGCTCTGCCGCCAACAGTGACCTTTGAGACCTTAGGGACCACCAGACGTCTGGCGTTTTGTGAGCGCAACGCTCGACTTGGTTGATACGACACTAACGTGTCTTGGAGATAAGAAGGAGCCAAGCCATTTATGGCTTTATATGTTAAGAGTAGGATTTTAAACTTTATTCTGTACTCCACAGGAGCCAGTGGAGTGATTTTAACACCGGAGTTATGTGCTCCCTCCTTTTGGTACCTGTTAATATCCTAGCTGCTGTATTCTGAACGAGCTGGAAGCTCTTCAAAGAGGCTTTAGGGCACGCTGCCAGTAAAGCGTTACAGTAGTCGAGCCTTGAGGTGACAAACGCGTGAATGAGTTTTTCCGCGTCACTTTTAGGAAGGAAATTCCTAATTTTAGCGATGTTCCGTAAGTGGAAGTACGCCGTTTTAGTTGCTTGGCTTATATAAGCCTTGAAGGAGAGTTCTTGGTCAAAAATGACTCCAAGATTCCTCACAGTGTTACTGGGTATTATACTGACATTATCGAGAGTAACCATCTGGTTAGTGAGGGAGTCACGCAGGCGCTTCGGACCGAGTAGGATCACTTCTGTCTTCTCCGGGTTGAGAAGTAGGAAGTTAAGAGTCATCCACATTTTAAGGTCCTTTATGCAGCACTGAGCTTTTCTAGCTGATCTGTCTGATTAGGCTTCATCGACAGATAAAGCTGTGTGTCATCTGCATAGCAGTGGAAATTAATTCCATGCTTTTTAATAATGTTTCCCAGTGGCAGCATGTAGAGAGTAAAAAGAATCGGTCCGAGTACCGAACCCTGCGGCACACCGAATTCCACTCCAGAATAAGGCGACGAGTCCTGATTCACATTGACGAAGTGATATCGATCTGATAAATAGGATTTAAACCAGCCAAGGGCTGTTCCTCTAAGACCTATATCACATTCTAGCCTCTGCAGTAGAATGCTGTGGTCTATTGTGTCAAATGCAGCACTAAGGTCCAGTAGGACCAGCACTGACACTTGTCCATTATCGGCAGCTAGTAGTAAGTCATTTGTGACTTTGACTAGTGCCGTTTCAGTGCTATGATGAGCTCTGAATCCTGATTGAAAGACTTCAAACATATTATTTTCCTGCAGGTGGCAGCGAAGCTGCTCAGCTATAAGTTTTTCCAGGATTTTAGATATAAAAGTGAGGTTTGAGATCGGTCTGTAGTTTGTAAGTATTTCTGGGTCCAGGTTTGTTTTCTTCAGAAGGGGTTTGATTACCGCGGTTTTAAAAGCTTGTGGGACATAGCCACATTGTATGGATGCGTTTATTATATTTACGATAGGCTCAATTATCAAAGGAAGTATGTCTTTGAAGAGCCATGTCGGGACTGCGTCTAACATGCAAGTTGAGGCTTTTGAGGATGTGACCACAGAGATCACCTCTGCTTGGCTCACAGCCATGAATTTATTAAGGCCCACTGAAGAGTCTAAGTGGGAAGTCACGTATGCCGCTTCAACCTGTCCACCACTAACAGCAGGAGCAACCTCCTCCAGCTTGTCACGGATGGATGTAATTTTATTATTAAAGAAGTGGAGAAAGTCGACACTGCTCAGTGAGCTTGGAATTTTAGGCTCGATTGCGCTATGGCAGTTTGTGAGTTTAGCGACGGTACCAAACAAAAATCTACTGTTGTTTTTATTCGCTTCTATTAAAGTTGAATAGTATTGAGTTCGAGCCCCGCGAAGGGCCTTCTTGTAGTTTCGGAGACCTGCTTTCCACTCCCTGTGGACAGGCTCCGAGTGGGAGTGGCGATATAGCCTCTCCAATTTTCTGACGTCCTGTTTTAAAGTGTGGAGTTGAACACTGTACCAGGGCGACGATGATCTAATCCTAATGGTTTTCTGTTTCAAAGGAGCTGCTGCATTTAATGCAGATTTTAAAGACTCCATAGTGTTGCCCACCGTTTGGTCAATGACTGAGGGACTGCAGCTGCTGTGAACAGGTTCACCTGCAGCAGTATTCAACATAGGCTGTATTAGTTCTTTGAACCTTGTGATAGATTTATCATTTAAGGTTCTTTTCATTATGGTTTTATCTTAGTCCTCCAAAGCGAGATCAAACGTGATCAAGAAATGGTCAGACAGCAACAAGCTTTGACGCTGGATGTCAACATTGGAGACATCACAGCCGTAGGTCAGGACAAGGTCCAAGGTGTGGTTATGAATGTGAGTAGGTTCCTCGACATTCTGAGTAAAACCAACACCATCTAGTACGGCGCTGAAAGCTTTGTTTAAGCTGTCAGTGCTGTCGTCCACATGTATATTGAAGTCTCCAGCTATAACTATGTTTTCCCATTCCAAAACTAGGTTTGAAATGAAGTCAGAGAATTCTGTTAGGAACTCGCTGTAAGGACCAGGAGGTCGGTATAAAACTATAAATAGTACTGCTTTTTGTTTTCTCCACCCAGGACAGGTGATTGAAAGTGTTAAGTTTTCAAACGAGTGAAAAGCGTTGTTGGTTTTGGGACTAAGAACTAAGTTGGTGTGTGATATAATCGCAACACCACCGCCGCGACCTGTAGTTCTGGCTTTCTGGTAGTTAACATGCGTCGGAGGAGTGCACTCATTCAATCTAACGTAGTCGTCCTGTTGGAGCCAAGTCTCCGAGAGCGCAAACAGATCCAAGCCCTTGTCTATAATAAGTTCGTTTATGAGAAGCGATTTAGACGAGATTGATCTGACGTTCATTAAACCACATTTAACAACCCTACCGCTAGAACTATTTCTGTCTGTCTGAACTTTTATTAAGTTACTGTGTCTGACACCTAGGTCAGATTTCCTCATATAGTGCTTTAGACTTCAAGCGGGGAACACACACAGTTTCAATCTGACTAGGTTCTGAGGCTAGTAACTGAGCACACACAGGCACACACATACATGCACACACAGTTTCAATCTGACTAGCTTCTGAGGCTAGTAACTGAGCACACACAGGCACACACACACACGCACACACAGTTTCAATCTGACTAGCTTCTGAGGCTAGTAACTGAACAGATGGGGGCTCAGAGGTTGTGGCAGAGCAGCTCTGCACCCGGGCCTCAGTTCTGCATCGTCATTTGAGCCGAGCAGAACAGTTTAGAGCCAGGGCCAAATTCTTAGCCAAAAGGGATGTACCCGCCAACGTTGGGTGGATATCATCCGAGCGGATGAGACCGGGCTTTCCCCAAAAGGCACTCCAATTGTCAACATGAACAACACCACTTCGAGGGCACCAGCCAGACAGCCAGCGGTTGAAAGCCGAGTGTCTGCTGAATGCTTCTGCACTGCTAGTGCTAGGTAGGGGCCCAGAGAAGATGACAGTGTCGGCCATTGTGCTAGCCAGCTTGCACACGGCGGCGACTTGCAGCTTCAACACCTCGGACTGTTTCCGCCGAACGTCATTACCACCCGCGTGAATAACAATTCGACGGAAACGCTGCTTGTGGGTCATCATGAGCCTCAGATTCCCTTCAATATCACCAAGCCTGGCCCCAGGGAAGCACCGAACAGTGGCTCCTGGGATCTTAACACCTCTAACAATAGAGGAGCCAATTACCAGCGCATCAGCGACTCCATCGGCTCTCTCAGCAGCTCTCTCAGCGGCTCTCTCAGCGGCTCTCTCAGCAGCTCTCTCAGCGGCTCTCTCAGCGGCTCTCTCAGCGGCTCTCTCAGCAGCTCTCTCAGCGGCTCTCTCAGCGGCTCTCTCAGCAGCTCTCTCAGCGGCTCTCTCAGCGGCTCTCTCAGCGGCTCTCTCAGCAGCTCTCTCAGCGGCTCTCTCAGTGGGGCCTTCTTCCCCGACAGAGCGTCCCAGCGATTGTAAATGCTAACAGGAGGAGGCCCAATGGGGAAACTACCAACAACACGTGGCCCTCTCCGAACAGTCACAAAGCCATCACTATCCTGGTCTTGTCCCAGCTGCGGAGGACGGGCTGGGAGGCTAGGCTCGCTAGTTCTCCTCTGCCTTTCCCTAAAGCTGCGCTCCGCTGTCCCTGAGGATACGGCCTGGCTGTAGCTAATGCTAGCGCTAGCTCGAGACTCCAGTGCTCGGAGACGCAGCTCTAACTCACTGACCCTGGATTCCAGAGCTACGACTACACTACACTTCACACATCTATCACTACCCTCAGAGAAGGATCCAGGGTTTAGACTCGCCATATGGCAACTCGAGCAGTAAAGGATTGAGGGAGAGACAGCAGCCGCCATAGTAGTAGCGAGTTAGCGGCTAGGCTAGGCTAAGCTAGGCTAGGCTAAGCTAGTACGGATCCGGGCCCGCACAACAGACTCCGAGACCAGACAAACAACCGCTACCTAAACCTCAGCTACAGTACAGCTGACTCGGAGTGCTTACACAGTTAGCTTGGTGTACAATACGTGGATTTGTAATGTGTTTGTTAGTGCAAACAGAGAGCAGAGTGATAGCAGTCAAGAAACACGCTCACCGGATACAGGAAGTCACCGGATACAGGAAGTCACCGGATACAGGAAGTCACTTTAGCATAATAAAGAAGCTAGTATAAATCTAGCTTTAGCATAATAAAGAAGCAAGTATAAATCTAGCTTTAGCATAATAAAGAAGCTAGTATAAATCTAGCTTTAGCATAATAAAGAAGCTAGTATAAATCTAGCTTTAGCATAATAAAGAAGCTAGTATAAATCTAGCTTTAGCATAATAAAGAAGCTAGTATAAAATCTCTAGCTTTAGCATAATAAAGAAGCTAGTATAAAATCTAGCTTTAGCATAATAAAGAAGCTAGTATAAATCTAGCTTCTTTTTTACGGGCATCGTTGGCGCCCATCGCGGTGAGTCAGCGAGCAAACCAGCTGGATTATACTCTAGTTAATGCGAGCTGCCAACTCTCACTGCTCACGCTGGAGGCGTACTCGCATGAGCCTCTCTTTAGCGGGGATTAATGACCAAGCTGAAAACGAGAAACGCCGCGTCAATGGAGGGTGATTTGGAAACTATTAAAACGACACTGAATGCATTGGCCGGAGAAATGCAGATTCAGCACAACAACAAACCATAATGGACCTTGCGCGGGAAGTCAGAGATCTAAGGATCCTAAATGATGAAAAGGAGAAGAAAATTATGGTTTTGGAAAACGGCGTGGCGGACCTGGAGCGGACACTCGCCTCAACGACCTGATCATATCAGGCCAAAGCTGCAGCGGCAGGTGTAGGCGGAGAGCTGAGCGCGGAGAGCTGAGCGCGGAGAGCTGAGCACAGAGAGCTGAGCACAGAGAGCTGAGCGCGGAGAGCTGAGCGCGGAGAGCTGAGCACAGAGAGTTGAGCACAGAGAGCTGAGCGCGGAAAGCTGAGCACTGAGAGCTGAGCGCGGAGAGCTGAGCGCGGAGAGCTGAGAGCTGAGAGCGGAGAGCTGAGCACAGAGAGCTGAGAGCGGAGAGCTGAGCACAGAGAGCTGAGCGCGGAGAGCTGAGCGCGGAGAGCTGAGCACAGAGAGCTGAGCACAGAGAGCTGAGCGCGGAGAGCTGAGCACAGAGAGCTGAGCGCGGAAAGCTGAGAGCGGAGAGCTGAGAGCGGAGAGCTGAGCACAGAGAGCTGAGAGCGGAGAGCTGAGCGCGGAGAGCTGAGCACAGAGAGCTGAGAGCGGAGAGCTGAGCGCGGAGAGCTGAGCACAGAGAGCTGAGCGCGGAAAGCTGAGCACAGAGAGCTGAGCACAGAGAGCTGAGCACAGAGAGCTGAGCACAGAGAGTTGAGCACAGAGAGTTGAGCACGGAGAGCTGAGCGCGGAGAGCTGAGCACAGAGAGCTGAGCACAGAGAGCTGAGCACAGAGAGTTGAGCACAGAGAGCTGAGCGCGGAAAGCTGAGCACTGAGAGCTGAGCGCGGAGAGCTGAGCGCGGAGAGCTGAGAGCTGAGAGCGGAGAGCTGAGCACAGAGAGCTGAGAGCGGAGAGCTGAGCACAGAGAGCTGAGCGCGGAGAGCTGAGCGCGGAGAGCTGAGCACAGAGAGCTGAGCGCGGAGAGCTGAGCGCGGAGAGCTGAGCGCGGAGAGCTGAGCACAGAGAGCTGAGAGCGGAGAGCTGAGCACAGAGAGCTGAGCGCGGAGAGCTGAGCGCGGAGAGCTGAGCACAGAGAGCTGAGCGCGGAGAGCTGAGCACAGAGAGCTGAGCGCGGAGAGCTGAGAGCGGAGAGCTGAGAGCGGAGAGCTGAGCACAGAGAGCTGAGAGCGGAGAGCTGAGCGCGGAGAGCTGAGCACAGAGAGCTGAGAGCGGAGAGCTGAGCGCGGAGAGCTGAGCACAGAGAGCTGAGCGCGGAAAGCTGAGAGCGGAGAGCTGAGAGCGGAGAGCTGAGCACAGAGAGCTGAGAGCGGAGAGCTGAGCGCGGAGAGCTGAGCACAGAGAGCTGAGAGCGGAGAGCTGAGCGCGGAGAGCTGAGCACAGAGAGCTGAGCGCGGAAAGCTGAGCACAGAGAGCTGAGCGCGGAGAGCTGAGCGCGGAGAGCTGAGCACAGAGAGCTGAGCACAGAGAGCTGAGCACGGAGAGCTGAGCGCGGAGAGCTGAGCGCGGAGAGCTGAGCACAGAGAGCTGAGCGCGGAGAGCTGAGCGCGGAGAGCGGAGAGCTGAGCGCGGAGAGCTGAGCGCGGAGAGCTGAGCGCGGAGAGCTGAGCACAGAGAGCTGAGCACAGAGAGCTGAGCGCGGAGAGCTGAGCGCGGAGAGCTGAGAGCGGAGAGCTGAGAGCGGAGAGCTGAGCGCGGAGAGCTGAGCGCGGAGAGCTGAGCGCGGAGAGCTGAGCGCTGAGGCCTGTTTCACACCGCACGCCGAGCGCAGAGCCGAGCGCCCTTTCCAGCCGAACTACCTCGCGGCGAGCGCATGTATTCAGACTGACGCCGAGCGTGGGCGAAGCGCCTAGACGAGTAGCACGCACAAAAGGAGTAGTATTGTACTCCAAACTAATAAACATGTTGTATATTTACATATGTTGTCTGAAATAACAGGTCAGAAATCAAAATAGCACATATAGACCTTAAATAAATTTCCTTATAATGTATCTTGTATAATGTATCTTATAGCCTATTTTGATTGTCGTTTCATTATCATAGTTAATTATAAGGTGTGGGGGCGGCCTGGATCTCCATGGGGGTTAAGGTTAGGTTATAATTATAATATATATATATATATAATAATATATATATATATATATAATATATATATATATATATATATATATATATATATATATATATATATATATATATATATATATATATATATATATATATATATATATATATATATATATATATATATATATATATATATATATATATATATATATATTATATATATAATATATGTTACAATTATATTTTATGCATAAAAAAAAGTATGACATGGAAAAGTGTGTAATTAAAAGAATAAACTTATTTGTACTTATGCATTACAATAATGAGATTAGATAAACGTGAAATTGCTTTATAAAAGTTATTTTTTGAATATTTTCGTGCTGAAAGCCGCTTTGCTGCGCAGCCTACACGCGGAAAAAATGCGCTAGAGTTCCATTTTTGGTTTCAGGAGCGGAGGCCGCAGCGGCGCGCGCCGATTCCCTGCGCGCCGCCTCAGCGCCGGTCTGTACACAGAAGAGCTTTCTCATTTGCACAACAGGACGCGACTTGAAGCGCAGCTTGCGAATGCACGCGAGCGGGTTTCGAAGACGAATTCGTTCACGAATTCGTGTGCGGTGTGGAAACAGGCCTTACTCAAACCAGCAGTAATTCTGCAATTTATGAACAGGAAAAAAAAGAATGCACTACTCAAGCAAGGAACGAACGTATAAACGAACACCTAATCAAGAAAAACGCCGACATTGCCGAGCAAGCACGCCTATAACGGAAACAAGGCCAGATTAAGGCCCGTTTTCAGGCGTATTGACTACATTCATATGGACGCACACATTTACTGAGCTAACTCCGTGTTTACAGAAAAAGTTTCTGAAATTATAAGCGTTTTGTCTTCGTGTGGATATAGCCTAAGGGACTTGGACCAACTGCAGGGTCTTCATTCGGCTCCGGAGGAGGCGTTCTTTGGGTGAAGGAGGAACATGAGCTGGATAACTATCTACAGTGACTCTCATCCTCATCACTTAAGCTTCACGCAGAAACTGAACTTCAACTATTTTCATTCATGGATAAGAACGAACCAGAAAAGTGATGTGGACCCGACATGCTTTCTTTCATAATATATGTCGTAACTGTAAATATTATCAACACAAATGTCACTATTGGAAAGATCAGAGAGCTGCCAATAGTTCATTTAAATTGCCGTAGCCTCTATGCTAATTTTGAACAAATAAAAGAGTATCTGAATAAACTTCATCTGAATGCAGCTGTAATTGCACTGTCGGAAACTTGGATAAAGGAATTTTGAGCTTGAGGATCAAATGTTCAATCGAAGCAGAAAACATAAATCAGGTGGAGTTGCATCGTATTTACACAAAGATTTCAAAGTTAAACTGATAAAATGACAATCGATCACATGTTTGATCTACCGAGCAGCAGCTGCAGATAGTGAAGGTTTTATTGAACATATTGAAAAGATATTCACTTATAGTAATCACAGAGATGTCTTTATTTGCAGAGACTTTAATATCGATTTACTGAAAGCACGCCCCACAGGATCACTGCACACTGCACTTTGCCTTAATCCCACGCCCCACAGGATCACTGCACACTGCACTTTGCCTTAATCCCACGCCCCACAGGATCACTGCACACTGCACTTTGCCTTAATCCCACGCCCCACAGGATCACTGCACACTGCACTTTACCTTAATCCCACGCCCCACAGGATCACTGCACACTGCACATTACCTTAATCCCACGCCCCACAGGATCACTGCACACTGCACTTTACCTTAATCCCACGCCCCACAGGATCACTGCACACTGCACATTACCTTAATCCCACGCCCCACAGGATCACTGCACACTGCACATTACCTTAATCCCACGCCCCACAGGATCACTGCACACTGCACTTTACCTTAATCCCACGCCCCACAGGATCACTGCACACTGCACTTTGCCTTAATCCCACGCCCCACAGGATCACTGCACACTGCACTTTACCTTAATCCCACGCCCCACAGGATCACTGCACTTTACCATAATCCCACGCCCCACAGGATCACTGCACACTGCACTTTGCCTTAATCCCACGCCCCACAGGATCACTGCACACTGCACTTTACCTTAATCCCACGCCCCACAGGATCACTGCACATTGCACATTACCTTAATCCCACGCCCCACAGGATCACTGCACACTGCACTTTACCTTAATCCCACGCCCCACAGGATCACTGCACATTACCTTAATCCCACGCCCACAGGATCACTGCACACTGCACTTTACCTTAATCCCACGCCCCACAGGATCACTGCACACTGCACTTTGCCTTAATCCCACGCCCCACAGGATCACTGCACACTGCACTTTACCTTAATCCCACGCCCCACAGGATCACTGCACACTGCACTTTGCCTTAATCCCACGCCCCACAGGATCACTGCACACTGCACTTTGCCTTAATCCCACGCCCCACAGGATCACTGCACACTGCACTTTGCCTTAATCCCACGCCCCACAGGATCACTGCACACTGCACTTTGCCTTAATCCCACGCCCCACAGGATCACTGCACTTTACCTTAATCCCACGCCCCACAGGATCACTGCACACTGCACTTTGCCTTAATCCCACGCCCCACAGGATCACTGCACATTACCTTAATCCCACGCCCCACAGGATCACTGCACACTGCACTTTACCTTAATCCCACACCCCACAGGATCACTGCACACTGCACTTTACCTTAATCCCACACCCCACAGGATCACTGCACACTGCACTTTACCTTAATCCCACGCCCCACAGGATCACTGCACACTGCACTTTACCTTAATCCCACGCCCCACAGGATCACTGCACATTACCTTAATCCCACGCCCCACAGGATCACTGCACACTGCACTTTACCTTAATCCCACGCCCCACAGGATCACTGCACACTGCACTTTGCCTTAATCCCACGCCCCACAGGATCACTGCACACTGCACTTTACCTTAATCCCACGCCCCACAGGATCACTGCACACTGCACTTTGCCTTAATCCCACGCCCCACAGGATCACTGCACTTTACCTTAATCCCACGCCCCACAGGATCACTGCACACTGCACTTTGCCTTGGCGGCACGGTGGCTGAGTGGATAGCACTCTCGCCTCTCAGCAAGAAGGTCCTGGGTTCAAATCCCGGCCGGACCAGGGCCTTTCTGAGTGGAGTTTACATGTTCTCCCCGTGTCTTACTTACTTACTTTTCCCCTACTTACTTAAAGTCCCACCTGTACTGCCCCCGCTCAGGATCACTGCCACACTGCACTTTACCTTAACTTACTCCCACGCGCACCACATACCTTAATCACTGACACTGCACACTGCACTTTACCTTAATCCCACACCCCACAGGATCACTGCACACTGCACTTTACCTTAATCCCACGCCCCACAGGATCACTGCACACTGCACTTTACCTTAATCCCACGCCCCACAGGATCACTGCACACTGCACTTTACCTTAATCCCACGCCCCACAGGATCACTGCACACTGCACTTTACCTTAATCCCACGCCCCACAGGATCACTGCACACTGCACATTACCTTAATCCCACGCCCCACAGGATCACTGCACACTGCACTTTGCCTTAATCCCACGCCCCACAGGATCACTGCACACTGCACTTTACCTTAATCCCACGCCCCACAGGATCACTGCACACTGCACTTTGCCTTAATCCCACGCCCCACAGGATCACTGCACACTGCACTTTGCCTTAATCTCACGCCCCACAGGATCACTGCACACTGCACTTTACCTTAATCCCACGCCCCACAGGATCACTGCACACTGCACTTTGCCTTAATCCCACGCCCCACAGGATCACTGCACACTGCACTTTACCTTAATCCCACGCCCCACAGGATCACTGCACACTGCACTTTACCTTAATCCCACGCCCCACAGGATCACTGCACACTGCACTTTACCTTAATCCCACGCCCCACAGGACCACTGCACACTGCACTTTACCTTAATCCCACGCCCCACAGGATCACTGCACACTGCACTTTGCCTTAATCCCACGCCCCACAGGATCACTGCACACTGCACTTTACCTTGATCCCACGCCCCACAGGATCACTGCACACTGCACTTTACCTTAATCCCACGCCCCACAGGATCACTGCACACTGCACTTTACCTTAATCCCACGCCCCACAGGATCACTGCACACTGCACTTTACCTTAATCCCACGCCCCACAGGATCACTGCACACTGCACTTTACCTTAATCCCACGCCCCACAGGATCACTGCACACTGCACATTACCTTAATCCCACGCCCCACAGGATCACTGCACACTGCACTTTGCCTTAATCCCACGCCCCACAGGATCACTGCACACTGCACTTTACCTTAATCCCACGCCCCACAGGATCACTGCACACTGCACTTTGCCTTAATCCCACGCCCACAGGATCACTGCACACTGCACTTTGCCTTAATCTCACGCCCCACAGGATCACTGCACACTGCACTTTACCTTAATCCCACGCCCCACAGGATCACTGCACACTGCACTTTGCCTTAATCCCACGCCCCACAGGATCACTGCACACTGCACTTTACCTTAATCCCACGCCCCACAGGACCACTGCACACTGCACATTACCTTAATCCCACGCCCCACAGGATCACTGCACACTGCACTTTACCTTAATCCCACGCCCCACAGGATCACTGCACTTTGCCTTAATCCCACGCCCCACAGGATCACTGCACACTGCACTTTACCTTAATCCCACGCCCCACAGGATCACTGCACACTGCACATTACCTT